AAAACTACCATCCATGGACTTACAGAATGCCTTATCCACCATCATGGTATCCCACGCAGTATCGCCTTGGATCAAGAGTCTGACTTCACAGCAAATGAAATGTGGCAGTGGGCCCAAGCTCATGGAATTCACTGGTCTGACCATGTTCCCCATCATCCTAAAGCAGCTGGCTTGACAGAATGATGGAATGGCCTTTTAAAGACACAATTACAGCACCAGCTAGGTGGCAATACCTTCAGGGTTGGGGCAGTGTTCTCTAGGAGGCTGTATATGCTCTATACCAGCATCCAATATATGGTGCTGCTTCTCCCATAGCCAAGATTCATCGGTCCAGGGATCAAAGGGTAGAAATGGGAGTGGCACAACTCACTATTACTCCTAATGACCCACTCACAAAATTTTTGCTCCCTGTCCCCGTGACCCTATGCTCTGTGGGTTTAGAAGCCTTTGTTCGAAAGGGAGGAATGCTCCCACCAGGAGACACAACACTGATTCCATTGAACTAGAAGTTAAGAATGCCACGCTACCACTTTGGGCTTCTCATGCCTCTGGGTCAACAGGCAAAGAAGGGAGTTAGTGTATTGACTGGTGTGATTGATCCTGATTACCAAGAGGAAATCAGATTGATATTACATAATGGAGGTAAAGAAGAGTATGTCTAGAATACAGGAGATCCCTTAGGGCATCTCTTAGTACTACCATGCCCTGTGATAAAAGGCAATGGAAAGCTACAGCCACTCAAGTCTGACATAACTACTAATGGCCCAGATCCTTCAGGAATGAAGGTTTGGGTCACTCCACCAGGCAAAGGACCACGACCAGCTGAGGTGCTTGCTGAGGGTAAAGGGAATACAGAATGAGTGGTGGAAGAAGGTAGTTCTAAATGCCAGCTATGACCACATGACCACTTGCAGATACAAGGACTGTAGTTATGAGTATTTCTTCCTTGTATATGTGCATCGAATATTTTTGTTTTCTCCACTTATAAAATATAAGATGTAAACGGGGCCAGTGTGTTTTTGGTTGTACACATTAGTTGTATCATGTTCAGGTGAAAATATGACTTTATAATTGTACTGAATCAAGATATATGTATGATTTGGGGAGATGTGTGCACGTGCCAAGTTGGGTGGACTGTGATGGTTAAGGTCTCAACTTGGCTGGGCCATGATTCTTAATGGTTTGGCAGTTATTTAATGATGTAATTTGTCAGTTATGTTACCACGTAATTAACTCCATGATGAGATCTACTATGAGCAGCCAGTCAGTTGAAAGGGAGTTTCCTTGGGGCTGTGTCCTGCCTCTAGTATATAAATGGATGTTTCAGCAAGGCTCTTGCTGTGAATCCTGCATCCAGCTCATCATCGGACCTCCAGTTCTTGGGACTTGAGCTAGCAGCTTTCCTGCTGATCTTGGGATTCGTCAGTCTCTGCAGCCTCTGAGCAAGTGGCCTGCTGTCTGACCTTCCAATCTTGGGTTTATCAGCCCCTGCAGCTATGTGAATCAGGAGAAGCCTCCAGCCTGATGCCTGACCCACAGACTTGGGACTTGCCAACCTCTACGACCGCATGAGCCATTTCCTTGAGAGAAGTTTCTGTCTCTCTCTTTCTCTCTCTACATATATATACATATATATGTGTATATACACTTCACTGGTTTTGCTCCTCTAGAAAACCCAGCCTAAGACATATGGTATCTCATTGTAGTTTTGATTTGCAGTTCTCTAACGGCTAATGATCCAAGTATTTCCTCATATGTCTGTTAGCCACCTGAATGTCTTGTTTGGTGAAGTGTCTGTTCATATCCTTTGCCCATTTTTTAATTGGATTATTTGTCTTTTTGGTGTTGAGGTGTTGGACTATTTTATAGATTAGACCCTTGATGGATATGTTGTAACCAAGAATTTTTTCCCAGAGGGCAGGGTTTCTTTTCAGTCTTTTGGCATATTTTCAGTCTTTTTGGCTGATTTTCGGAAGTAGATCATTAGGCTTTTCTTCCTAGTCTATCTTAGTCTGGAAGCTCTGCTGAAACCTGTTCAGCATCATGGCAACGCACAAAGACTCCACTGACAGACAGGTGGTGGCTGCACATGATGTGCATTGGCTGGGAATCAACCCTGATCTCCTGCATGGAAGGTGAGAATTCTACCACTGAACCACCACTGCCCTCATGAAAGGGTCTTACACAGCCTCTAAAGTCCCTAAGTGATGCAAACGGTTTGTACTCGACTACTAACCTAAAGTCTGGTGGTTTGAACCCACCCAGCAGTGCCACAGAAGAAAGGCCTGGCAATCTGCTTCCATAAAGATTACAACTGAGCAGACTTACTGATCTTAGAAACTAGAGAAACCCCAGGAGTATAGCCCCTGGACACCCTTTCAACTCAGTACTGAAGTCGTTCCTGAAGTTCACTGTTCAGCCAAAGATTAGACAGGCCCATAAAACAAACAAGACTAAATGGGCACACCAGCTCAGGGACAAGGACAAGAAGGCAGGAGGGGACAGGATGGCTAGTAACAGGGACTGGCAACCAATGTTACAAAACAACATGTGTATTAATTGTTATAATGAGAAACTAATTTGCTCTGTAAACTTTCATCTAAAGTACAATTAAAAAAAAATTACAATCAAGAAAACCCTATGGAGTACAGTTCTACCCTGAAACACATGAGGTCACCATGAGTTGGAATCAACGGCAACAAGTTTTTTAACACAGCTCCTAAAATCAAGTCAATATTTGTCTATGAGAGCCATATGTTTTTCCAGAATAAATTATTATAATTCAGATTATAAAATGGCTTTAAGAAGACTGGTGTCAGAGGAAGCTTCCTTGGTGGCTACATTTATTCTTTCAAAAACATATAATTACCGAGCACCTACTATGAACTACTTAGGATACCATGGCAAACAGAATAGACACAGTCTTTACTCTTATATCATTTATAGTTTAATGGATGTGCTAGACATTGATCATATCACCCCACAAGTAAACATGTAATTTCAAAATTTTCATAAATGTCATGAATTAAAAATAAAGGGTGTGATGAGAGAACAAAGGGAGTTGACCCATTTTTAGGGGTGAGGGAAGGCTTTTCTGAGACAGGGACACTTAAGCTGAGAACTAAAGCATTTATGAGTAGGGGTGCAAAAAAGAAACAACCATTTTAGATATAGATAATGGCATGTGCAAAGATCCTGGGGCAGAAAATAACTTAGTGTAAACAAGGAGCTGAAATGAAGGCCAGTGTTACTGAAATGTAGTAAGAGAGAGAGTGGCAAAAAATGAAGGGAGTAACTCATGCCCAGGTTTTTGCTGGTCATGGAAAGAAATCTGGTCTTTATATTACGAGCAGGGGAAGCTACTGAAGGGCTTCAGATAGGAAAGTGGTATGTTTAGCTTTGATTTTTTAAAAGATGACTGGGTTTATGCTAGACTACTAACCTAAAGGTTAGTGGTTTGAACCCACCCCGCAGTGCTGCATAAGAGAGGCCTGATGATCTGCTTACATAAAGGTTAAAGCCAAGAAAACCCTATGGAACACTTCTACTCTAACACATGGGGTCATCATAAGTCGGAATGAGTTTGTTATTTATTAATTTTTTTGTTGGCTGTATGAGGAAAGTGGAGTAGAGGGTGGCAAGAGTTGGAATGATGAGTTCAGTTAGGAGACTACTGCAGTCGATTTATCAAGTGAGGAATAATGGAGGCTTGGACTGTGATGGTGGTGGTAGAGATGGAAGTAGAGTTGGTAGGATTTAGTGCTGATTGGATAAGGGACAGCAGGGAGAGCGAAGCTTGCAGATTAACATCTGTTTTCTAGCATGAGTAACTGGTTGGATAGAGGTGGTATTTTCTGAGGTGGGATACAGTAGAGAAGGAGGAGCAGATATGGAGGACAAGGACTGAATCCTTTAAGGTGCTGTACAAATACCAGTCAGAATTCCTGCATTACTAAAAGTACCCCACGTGGTTGAATCAGAGGGGAAAAAATGGGCAAGTTGCATTTCTTTAGCGATTGCATGGTTATCTGCATTCTTCTTCCACTTGTCTAAAGGTGAGTCTTTAGTTTCAGTTGAGTTGCTTCCCATTCTTTTGAACTCATGCTCACCTTTTTGTGGTTTGAGACAACAGATGAAGCTACATTTCATCCCAATATCATGTCTACAGTTAAAAAACAAGAAACTAATTTGTAGAGCAACTTGTGTGTTTGATTAGTAGTGATTTCTACACTTGGCCCTTTCATTGTTGAGATTTGGAATTTGAGTGGCTGATAGATCATCTTTCTGTAACTGGCTGCCCAAATTGTTTCATAAGTATGTTCAACAGGAGGGTTGAGGGCTATGGACTGGGTGTTGGGCACAGCTTACTGGGCCTGTTTTAGTATAGTGCAGGTAGCATTCAGTATGGAATCAACACACTTGACTTCCCAAGCAATCTCAGAATTATAGATTGCCCCTAGAAGTTTCAGGTTCGGGGAGGGGGTTTTTCCCAAGTGGGTTTCAGTTATACACAGAGCGGCATGTTCTATCTTGGGGACTAGTCCTTGATACAATTCAGTTCAGTATGCATTCTTGAACACCTATGTTATGCAAGATTCTTGAGTATGATGACAGTGGGGTAAGGAAGGCTGAAAACCCTAAAAACTGTATAAGTGGGGACAAAAATTTAGGTCATACTCAACCAATTTTAAGTTGATTCTTGAGAACTCTCGATTAACAGTGGAGTTATGAGACAGAACTAGAAGGGTATTGCTTATGTTTCCATTACCAATATTCCTAGCTATTTTAAGTCATTCTTCAGCTCAGTCTCCACCAGATGGTCTTGAGGACAGAGCAGCTATTTGTGTCTCCCATTGACATCTATTTTCCCAAGTGAGAGACTGCCCCATATGTTAGTGCAGTATGTCGCTTGACGTGAAGCATCAGTTCGTATTGGTGGGAACCTGCCATATGCTCTTCCCTTGCCTCATGCCTTTTACTGCCTTTCTGGTTTTTTCTAGGTCTCTGGCCTATCAGGAGGACGATTGGTGCTGTGGTGGAAGCCAGCGGCTAAGTCTCGTGTATGGCGTGGTTACGGTTGCAGCCTCTTACTTCTGCCTTCCTCCATTTTGGGCTGGTTACTTTTGTGCTCTTCCTAAATGGTCTCCGAGCAGAGGCTGGTGGTTCGGGGGATGTACCCGGCACAGGGCAGAACAATGAGTCCTGTTCAGGGTCATCAGACTGCAAGGAGGGTGTCATCTTACCAATCTGGTACCCGGAGAACCCCTCCCTTGGGGACAAGATTGCCAGGGTCATTGTCTATTTTGTGGCCCTGATATACATGTTCCTTGGGGTGTCCATCATTGCTGATCGCTTCATGGCATCTATTGAAGTCATTACCTCTCAAGAAAGGGAGGTGACTATCAAAAAGCCCAATGGAGAGACCAGCACAACCACGATTCGGGTCTGGAATGAAACTGTCTCTAACTTGACCCTTATGGCACTGGGCTCCTCTGCTCCTGAGATCCTCCTCTCTTTAATTGAGGTGTGTGGTCATGGGTTCATTGCTGGTGACCTGGGACCTTCCACCATCGTAGGCAGTGCAGCCTTCAACATGTTCATCATCATTGGCATCTGTGTCTACGTGATCCCTGATGGAGAGACTCGAAAGATCAAGCACCTACGAGTCTTCTTTGTCACTGCTGCTTGGAGCATCTTTGCCTACATCTGGCTCTATATGATCTTAGCAGTCTTCTCTCCTGGCGTGGTCCAGGTTTGGGAAGGCCTCCTCACTCTCTTTTTCTTTCCAGTGTGTGTTCTTCTAGCCTGGGTGGCAGATAAGCGATTGCTGTTCTACAAATACATGCATAAAAGGTACCGTACAGATAAACACCGAGGAATTATCATAGAGACAGAAGGAGACCACCCTAAGGGAATTGAGATGGATGGGAAAATGATGAATTCCCACTTTCTAGATGGAAACCTGGTGCCCCTGGAAGGAAAGGAAGCTGATGAGTCCCGCAGGGAGATGATCCGGATTCTCAAGGATCTGAAGCAAAAACACCCAGAGAAGGACTTAGATCAGCTGGTGGAGATGGCCAATTACTATGCCCTTTCCCATCAACAGAAGAGCCGCGCCTTCTACCGGATCCAAGCCACCCGTATGATGACTGGTGCAGGTAATATCCTAAAGAAACATGCAGCAGAACAAGCCAAGAAGACCTCCAGCATGAGTGAGGTGCATACCGATGAGCCTGAGGACTTTGTCTCCAAGGTCTTCTTTGATCCATGTTCCTACCAGTGCCTGGAGAACTGTGGGGCTGTACTCCTGACAGTGGTAAGGAAAGGCGGGGACACGTCCAAGACCATGTATGTGGACTACAAAACAGAGGATGGTTCTGCTAATGCAGGGGCTGACTATGAGTTCACAGAGGGCACTGTTGTTCTGAAGCCAGGAGAGACCCAGAAGGAGTTCTCTGTGGGTATCATAGATGATGACATTTTTGAGGAGGATGAGCACTTCTTTGTGAGGTTGAGCAATGTCCGCATGGAGGAAGAGCAGCCAGAGGAGGGCGTGCCTCCAGCAATACTCAACAGTCTTCCCTTGCCTCGGGCTGTCCTAGCATCTCCTTGTGTGGCCACAGTCACAATCTTGGATGATGACCACGCGGGCATCTTCACTTTTGAATGTGATACTATTCATGTCAGTGAAAGTATTGGTGCCATGGAGGTCAAGGTTCTGCGGACATCAGGTGCCCGGGGTACAGTCATCGTCCCCTTTAGGACAGTAGAAGGGACAGCCAAGGGTGGTGGTGAGGACTTTGAAGACACATATGGGGAGTTGGAATTCAAGAATGATGAAACTGTGTAAGTAACCTTTCCTTGTTCTAATCACCCTCCTCCTCACCCCTTGCCATCTCCTTTTATCCTCTTATATCACTCTTTAAAACTCTTCTTATGTTTATGTTAATGTTAAACTTTGGTTCCATCACAGGTATGCAGGATCAGCAGACATTACTGGGCAGGTTCTGCTTCCAAACTTTTCTTTAATTTCCTCATGTTAAATTGTTTGTGGGTAAGAAATTCTGTGGCAGAATCTAAGAATGCAGAACATTTTGTCCACTGAAACCCAAAATGATGGCTGGTGGAGGTGGGTAGGGGGTGGCAGAAGTTGTGTGATATCAGATTTTGGAGCATACTTGTGACTAAGCACAAAATAGGAGACTGCTTGGGGCTCTCCTTCCTTCTCTCCTCATGCTAAGGGCTTACGTGAGCTTTGAAGTCAAACCTTACCATTCTGGGACAGTGATAGTCCAACCAGGACATACTCAAGAAAGCAAGTGACATTGGCTTTTTTTCCCCCGGTACCGTACTGCAGTTGTATTGTATAACCAGATTTCAGGCACATCTCCTTCAATTTGGAAATTGCAAAATTGATTAAAACTTGGCAGTCTCTTTAAATGTCAATAGGCTATTTTATGGCATGAGACTTGCCCAGCCTAGGTGAGATAAGTCAATATATGACTTGGGTCCTGGAGGTATCTTGGAGAAGCAGAGCTCCCAGGGCAGTGGCCACCTGTGTTTAGTCACCATTTTAAACTCCAAGATCTGGCTAAGCAGTGAAGGAGAAGCCTCTTAGGAATTGTGGGATAGCATGTGTCCTCTGTATGGTCATCTTTTTTCACAGTCCAGGATTCTCCTGAAATACTTCTTCTCAGGTTACTGCCCTATTTAGTCCTTCAGAAACTGTGGATATTGCACTTCTGTTGCCTCTATCACCCTAAGGCCTCTCTCCATTGAATCTCCTGCTAATTGGGTGCTCTGTCCTTTTCAGAAATGGATGGCTTTGGAGAAAAAAGCAGAGTGATTTCTCCATGATTTGCAGTTTATGAGGGGAATTATAGGGCAGACTCTACCAGGGTGGCCTAGAAGGATAGAGATGAGAAAGAGGAACCTTGCTTCTGAATTCCTTGCTTATGTCCACAAGCAGTAAGCAGTTACAGGAGAAGATGTGAAGAATCAAGGTGGCATATAATATAGGAAGGTCCCTGGGTGGTGCAAACAGTTTGCACTTGACTACAAACCTAAAGGTTGGCAGTTAGAACCCATCCACTGCTGCCTCAGAAGATAGGCCCGGCAAACTGCTTCTGTAAAGATTACAGACAGGAAAACCCTATCGGGCAGTTCTGCTTTGTAATGCATAGGGTCGCCATGAGTTGGAATTGACTCAACGGCAACGGGTTTTGTTTTGTTTTTATAATATAGGAAGGAGCAATGTCAAACTGTTCTAAGAACCTGCTAATAACATTTTTCAGTGAGAAATGAAAATGTACCACTACTAGAAGTGTGAGGGAAGGAACTCATGGAGAAAGGAGGCCAAGAATCTAGGGAGAGGTGTCACAGAAGTACTTACCATGTCCAGCTGTGAGACAAAGGCCAAAGAAGGTTGAGCAGAGATAAGTGACCCAGGGTCCTCTGCCCTTGTCCTCAGTCAGTTTCTTCCTAATAATGTGACCTTGGGCAAGCCATTTAGTACCTCTGGGACTAAACTGTTCATCTGCAAAGTGGAACTAATAATACTTTCCTTGCTTGGAGGCAGGGTCAGATCTTTCACAGTTCCTTCTAGCTCAAAGATTTTCTGAACCAAAGATGCAGGAGCTCAGTGTAGGTCATAATTGTACTAGCCAAAAAAGGAACAAGGGATATTATCTCCTGAAAGTGAAATAGCCATTGACAAATTGATTTATTAGGACTATGTTTAGTCATTTTGCTGGGAAGGATAATAATTTGTTAGCATAAGTAAAAACCTATACCTTCCAGAGAATATATGTGCTCTGGGGAGAATGTTTATACATACAAATGAAGAAAAGGCCCTGGCTGGGAACACAAGCTCTGGGAAATTTCACACATGTTTATGGCAATGTCAGTATATGAGAGGTTATTGTCAGTCATTAAATGGCATCAGGACTACAACATTAGGTATAATTGGACAGACTTGTGGTTCTTCCAGATCCCTGCTGGCTCAGTGGTTAAGAATTTGGCTGCTAACCAAATGTTGGCAGTTCGAATCCACCAGCCATTCCTTGGAAACCCTATGAGGCCGTTCTACTCTGTCCTATGGGGTTGCTATGAGTCAGAATTGACTCAATGGCAGTGGGTTCGGTTTTTGATTTTGGTGGTTCCTCCAATCCAGTATCCTATCTACCAATGGCACGGAAGGGCGGTTTTTGAGAACTCAGGGTCTTGGCTCCCGGAATTTTTCATCCCATTAATAATCAATTGTGAACCTATAATCTCTGAATATGACTAACCGTTTCTCAAATCCATTTGTGTTTTCAGCCTGCATAATAGCTTGATGTAAATGAGCTTCACGAATGATCACTTCTGGGTGATACTGGTTTTAAGTGGATGTCAGTCTCCAGAAGTTTGAGATTCTAAGGTATTCTAGGACCTTAAAGAACAAGTCTAAGTTCCCATCTGTTCCTTTGTATTATTTTTTTAGACTTCAGTATAGATCTACCTTTTTGGTCTTCATCATTGCAGAATAATGAGTCCAAAACATGCTGGTCTAACCTGAGATAGCAGCCCTACCCTTGATGTTTTAAACCATAATTTTACAACTAGAGGCAAAATGATGTAGCAGAAAAACCATGGGCTCTAAATACACTGGGTTAAAATTCTAGCTCTACTGCTGACCTAACCATGTGGTTTTAGGAAAATTTCTTAACCTACGAGATCATTTCCTCATCAGTAAATTAGGGATAATAATACCTCTCTTGAAGGACTGTTATGATGATTTGAAATATTGTGTGCTAGTAGTACCTGATACATGGTATGTGCTCAGTAAATGACGACCCTTAGTAGTAATATCGATGAATTAACAATATTCTTCCGAAGACATAATGGAAGTGATCAGCTTATTTACGTTGAAAAGAGAGATCTCTGTTTGACCCTAACGAATGAGCATGCTAGTTTTTTTTGTTACCATGGAGGGTCCTAACCTAAACAAAATATTAGAGCCAGAAAGGGCTTTAGACTACTAGAGCAGTGCTTCTCAAACTTTAACGTGCATATGAATCACCCAGGGATCTTGCCAAAATGCAGAATATGATTCTAAAGGTCCAGCATAGGGCTTGAGATTCTGTATTTCTAGTAAGCTCCTGATGCTGCTGATCCGGACTTTGAGTAGAAAGACTCCAAAAGCTCTTGACCAAACCATGAGACTCAGAAAGGAAAAGTAGCTTTTCAAGTGACTTGTTTAGTTGAATCATGGATGCTTACTTTTCAGTTCCAACTTTCAACCCCAACTTAGCTAGAACCTGACTTCTAAAGCTGTACAGTCCTAAATGAACTCCTCCCCTAAAGCCCTGGGATTGCAATACCAGTTTCGAAACTGGAATTGAAACCTTCCAGGTACTTACAGCTGTGTGACACCTGAACAATTCCACTTTCTAATCCCCCCATCTTTGAGCAGCTTTGTTTGCCTACCAAGCCTATCGCATTGTCAGTTTTGCCCTCACCACACTCCTCTAAATCTAATCAGGATGAGATTGGGCCAGTGCCATATCAATACTTTTGGGCCTGTGAAGGCACCTGTTGTATCTTATGCTTTACTTCTTTAAAGGTGCCTGTGGCAGCACGGCAGGACAGAAAATCATGAACTTTGGAGTCTGACAAACAGATATGAATCCATCTCTCACTGGCTGTAACTTTGGACAAGTCACTTCATCTGTCTGAATCCCAGATTTTTTGTTGGGATGATAAGAATAATATCTATAGTGTTAAGTACTAAATACAAATATGAAGAAAATATACCTGGGACATAGTGCCTGCTCATAGAAGATACTCGTTCATTCAACAAATGTTGATTACATGTCTGCTGTGTACTAGGTACCTTACTAAGTGCTGGGAATAAATAAATGGATAAGACAAGCTAGCATTTCAGCTCTCAAGGATCTTACCCTTCAGTGGAGAGGCATACAAGACGTACAGTCAAAACACAGGGGAGAAGTACTATGGTTGAGATAGGTTCAATACAAGAAGAATTACAGTTCCCTCCTCTGCGTGTAACACCACTGAAGTTTTTAAAGTAACATTCACTAAGGATGTAGTAGTGATAGTCGTGGGGAGGATGTGGGTACATGATTGGTTTACACCCATGTTACAATGAACCCTTCACATTTGAGAGGAATACACTTCAGATCTTCACGATCCAGAAGAATCTCCACCTTTGTGACTAGCACTACAGTATTTCATGATAATTATGGCTTTGCCTACTGCTTACAATAACAAAACCTCACTGAGATATGGCTCCTGACAGTAGGCTCCCTCACTAAACAAGTGGCTGGCTCTTACATACCAGGCTTACAGCATGCCTCTGCAAAATAACAGATTACTGCAGCTCATGGACCTTTGAGGTCTCTGGGAATAGTCAAAGCTGCAAATGTCAAATATGCAAATGCCAAGAACTACTATAATTAAATAGCACGGGGCCTGCCTCTGAGGAAGAACAGAGTGCTGGCTGTGACCCACATTTCCCACCCAAATCAGAATGTTGAAGCTGGAAGCTAACTAACCTCCTGCTTTTTACAAATTAGGAAACTGAGATTCAGGGAGGGAAAGTGACTTGTCCAAGGTCACACAGCTAGATAAGATAGAAAATTAGAGTTGGTTCATCCTGAGACTATTCAGGAGGGAAAATATTGAGCTCATGGGGCGAGGGGCCCGGGGAATCCTTCTCTAGCCTAGTAGTCTCTTATTGAGAATAGGTGGCAAGCATAGCTGGGTCATCTTTTGTGCTGTCCTGATGAACTGCAGACTAGATCCTGTTCCATGAAATAATGAAATTTTTCTAAAGTGAAGTAGGC